GGATAAATTGAGGATATTAGAAAATGCTTAGAAAACTTTTTAGAGAAAGTAATAGTCGAACTAGTCCTTGAATGATAGGTTTTTGGAAGCTATAGGTTTTTGTTTTAAATGGATTTTTATTTAAAAATAAAAGATAGCACTTTTAATGGGATGATTTAACTTAATGAAAATTTTACTATATGCTTCTCATTTTTCTCACTTCTTTCTCCAGGGAAACTTCAACTCAGCCCATGAGCTGGGCCAGCTTCAAAGAATTAATGTCTTAGCCCTTTCTGGGAAATCAAGAAACATTTCTCACACCCAAGAAAGTTTCCTTTCCAGTCCAAATCACTTTTTTTTTTTAAAGAAGCTTCCAAGACCCTACTAAGTTCCTACTGGACATTTTCCTCTTGTTTTGTCCAACTCTGCGTCTGTTGCAGGTCTGCTTTTCCTCAGATGGCAAGGGTACTGTGAGGTCAGGCTGGAGAGGACCCCAGGCACTATGACCTCAAGTTCGGGACCTGTTGCTATAACACCTGAAATGCCACCACGGGAAGCATAGTGCGGAACACTCATAGATATGTATGTAAATTGACATTCGACTTCCCAGCCAGGCACAATGAGAAGTTTACTCTTGGCCTATAAACCCGACTCAGTGGTGGGGCCTGAGCAAGCTGGTGAACACGGAGATACAAGGGTTATTTCCTATTCACACCAAGTCTGTCCATGTGATCTTCAAACTGTCCTTATTTGAAACACGCAATGTACCAGGCACCAAAAAGAATAAGAATCTGCCATGACATCACCTCCCGCAGAATGAGATAGGTGACAGCTATTCCACTACAAGGAAAGTAACAAAGACAGACCTGTACTTCAGAAAATGTACTACTTCCTGATCCTCTGCAAGGGCTTGGTGTGGGTAAGCAAGGGTCCTTTTATCCTATGCTGTTGAGCTAATTCTGGCTCCAGGAGCTACAGGGCAGAAAGGGGCTCCATTGGATTTTCTTGGCTGTAATCTTTATGGAGTCCCTCAAGGACCCGAGTAAATATATTGCGGAGGTAATTCCTTTATCATCTTTGCTTCACTTTTGGATGTCCCACTTTATCCATAATTAATATGAGTAAATACACCAAAGAGCGTTTTAGAATGTGTGGTGTGTGTATGTGTGTGATAGTTAAGGTATGGGTCGACTTGGCTAAGCCATACTTCTCGGTGGTTTGGCAGATGCAATGGTAATCCTCTCCATTTTGTGATCTGCGGTGAGCAGCTGGTGAGTTGGAAGGGAGCTTTCTTGGGGTTGGGCCTGAATCCAGTATCAATGGATGATCTGGCCAAGCTTGTTTTCGCTTGATCTTACATCCAAGTTGTCGTATGATTTTTAGAACATGAGCCAGAAGCCTGCTGCCTGACTGCACATATTCATCAATCCCTATAACCATGTGAGTCAGGAGAAGCCTCCAGCCTAATGCCTGACCCATTGATTTGGGACTTGGCAACCTCCACACCTACGTGAACAGTTTCCTTGAAATGTATATCCACCTACCTACTTACCTACTGTCTACCTACATACTTACCCACACATCTCTCTCTTTGTTTTCCTAGAGAAACTAGCTTAAGATGAGTGTGTTTTATATGTGTGTGTGTGTGTGTGTGTGTGCAGAGTCACTTAAAAAAGTTCATGGACGATGGAATCACAAGATCATGAAAAATTTTAAGTATGTACACATTTAGATAACAAATATTTGGTCATTTCTACATTTTTATATGAGCAATTCAGTGACACTGATCACATTCCTAATGTTCTGCAACCACAAAGCTATCCATTTTTAAATGTTTCCGTCGCTCTAAATGGAAATTCAGGGCCGCCTCCACCACCCCCTGCAGTAACTCCTTCTCTCCCTCTCCTTCCCACTACTAGTAATCCCTCCTACACCCTGTTCTTCATACGTTTGCCTACTCTAGGTCTCTCATAAGGAGCCCTGGTGTCAGTCGGTTACATGTTGGGCTTATAGCTGCAAGGTCAGCAATGTGAGACCACCAGCCACTCAGACGGAGGAACCAAAAGCTTTCTTTCCCATGGAAATGTCGAGTCTCAGAAACCCACAGGAGCAGTTCTAATTTGTCCTACAGGGTCGCTCTCAGGGTGGCCGGGAGTTGGAAATGACTCTATGGCAGTGGGTCAGGGAGCTATTTCATGTGAGTGGGCTCTCACACTGTATGTCCTTTTGTGACGGACATATTTCACTCAGAATAATGTTTTCAATGTTCATGCATATTTGAGGGGTTCGTTTCTTTTTACAGCAAAGTAATATGCTGCCAATGCCTTGGTGGCATAGTGGTTACCCACTGGGCTTCAGTCCACAGGCAGCACTTGGAAACCACCAGCCGCTCTGCAGGAGAAAGACTGAGCTTTCTACTCCCATAAGCAGCTACAGTCTCAGAACCTCACAGGGGAAATTCTACCCTCTCCTATAGGGTCTCTGTGAGTTGGCATCAACTCTATGGCAATGAGTTGAGTTAATATGTTGCCAAGCAGCCTTAAGTTGTGTTCATATTTCTGACACCTCATGTTGGGTCCAAAGACGCAAGAGCCCAGCAGCAAAGTTAGTGGAGTTCTAGCTACTGACTCTCATCCCAGCCGCTCCTCTCTTAGAAGGTGTCCAAAGTAAGGTAGCCAACACCTTTGAGTTTGTGAAAATTGTAATAGGCCAAAGCAAAACGTTTATAAAGAAGCATTAAGAACACACACACACACACACACACACACACACACACACACACACGGATGAATTCCCACTCACAGAAACTACGTGGACCGAGGCAAAGAAGGAAGGGGAAAGTTCAATTCAGAAGCAGAGAGAAAAGCAATTCCACTATATTTTTACTTAATTCTGATTAGCTAATAATATTTGTAACTTCTCTATATTAACAACATTTTAAGAAACGAACAACACATCTGTCCCAATTTTAAAGCTTTATAAGACTCAGAGACTAAGTCTATGAACGCTGCAGTTGTTGTTGTTGTTCGACGTCACCATGTTAGCTCCAGATCATAGCGACTCTACATACAACGGGACGAAATACTGCCTGGCCGTCACCCTCCTCACCATAGTTCTCATGGTTGAGCCCGTAATTGTAGCCACGGTGTCAATCCATTTTGTCGAAGGCCTTCCTCTTTGTCACTGCCCCCCACTTTACCAAGCAGGATGCGCTTTTCTAGGACAGAGCTCTCCTGACAACATGTCCAAAGTACAGGAGACGAAGTCTCACCATCCTTGCTCCTAAGGAGCATTCTGACTATACTTCTTCCAAGACAGAGTCGTTTGTTCTTCTGGCTGCCGAGGGTACTTTCACTATTCTTCACCTGTTCTGAATTAGCAGAGAAAAATGACATTACTATGGAATTTATTTCAAGAGGGGTAGAGGGCCCACTGTAGTGAATGCAGGCCTCTGAGCCAATGCAGACTCCGAGGCCCTGAGTTACCAACAGTCCTCAGGAAGCTGTATCCCTGCCTTTACCTTGACTTTCTAGAGTCCAAGGATAATCTATTATAACCTAATGGCCTTGTCTCCATACTCTCTTCCCTTTAACTCGCCCAGAAGATTAGTGTCAAACTAATTCTCCTAAGTGCAGTCCTAATGTATGATGCACACAAAATTTCAATATTTCTCTTTCATTTACTGAATAAAATTCAGACTTCTTAGTTTACATTTTAAAGCTCTTCCCAATCCCTTGATTTAGTTCCTTTTTACTTTCTTGGTTTAAATCATCAATTTTTTTACTTTAAACTACAGGCTATCCAGTGACTAGGCAGGGGGGTGGGGTGGGGGGGGTTGCCTCATTTTTAACCCTAGAGCCTCTTCCCTTCTGCGCTTCCTCTCTAATGAATGTCCCCTTGAGGAGCCCTGGTGGCGGCATGGTTAGAGGGCTGACCCAAAGGTCAGTGGCTCACACCCACCAGCCACCCCGTGGTAGCAAGGCATGGTAGTCGGCTTCCATAGAGATCTACAGCCTTGGAAACCCTGTGGGGCAGTTCTCCCTGTTCTCTCGGGTTGCTATAGCTTGGAAATGGCTCAATGGCCATTTGGCTTTGGTGGCTCATGATCTCCAAGGAACCCTGGGGGCTTGAAAACAGGTAATACACTTGACTACTGATGGAAGGATTGGAGGTTCAACTCCAATCAGAGTCACCTTCGAAGAAACACCTAGTGATATACTTTTTAAAAAGAAAGAAAGAAACAAACAAAAAAAACCCTGCCACTGAAAATTCTATAGAGCCCAGTTCTACTCTTGAATTCGCATTAATCCACTAGCAACTGGTTTGGCTTTCCACGAGCCCCAGCTTTTCTGCGGCGTGCTTGGCCATCCAGCTCAATTGTTTCTTCTTCAAGAAGCCGTGTGATGACCTCAATCTCCCGTGATGACGATTTCATTGTTACTTACCTTACAGCATTGATCACCCTCGCCCTTGCATATGAGCCAGTCAATTTTTATCCAGTATCTCCCTTACTGAATTGAAACTCCTTAGCCAGGTCTTTCATACTCCTATTGCCTTTTTTCTTTCTTTCACATTTTTTTATTATGAAAAATAGCACACAAATGGAAAAGTGCCCAAGTCCTAAATGGACTGCTTCACAAAGTATTTCAAAGAGAACGTCAAGTAAGCTGGTTTGGAAAGAAACCAGTACCAGTACCCCAGAAGCCCTCATCGCTCGCCCCACTCCTCTCTGCCCTCTGCCCTGCACTGTCTTCCTTCCCAGTCACAGTGTCTGGTTTAACAAGTGATCAGGAAAAGGCTCGAAGGGTGAAGGAGTAGACAATGAGGAAGGTTCAGCCTAAGGGAATGTCAGCTGGATGCATATCATCATAGGAAAAAGTGCCCCCAGCCCATCTCTTTCTTAATTGGTGGGTTGGAAGTTTTTGCAAGTAAAAAAGGAACAAGGTCGGAGAGCAGGAACTGGCCCCACTGTTTTTTCAGTGGTCACTCTCTGCCAGTGTTGAGGAGCCTCCGACAGTGCCATGTTGGGGCAGAGCATGGAGAGGGTTACCACCTCTGTGGTCCGAAGGAGCCACTTCAAGGAGGGCCCTGGGAAGAATTTGCCATTTTCGGTGGAAAAGAAGTGTTGGTTACTGATTATGATGACTGTGTTCTTTGGGCCTGGATTTACTGCACCTTTCTTTACCATCAGACACCAACTGCTTAAGAAATAAGGATGTTTAAGTTCATCTGTGAAACCGACAAGAAGACTGTTTTAAGAAGTCCTACCTCCAAAAATTGAATCAAGCTCTGTTGAACGTAAAGCATACCGGGTATGTTTGTAAATAAACTTAATACCTGAATGCTAAATTAAAATAAAATAAGGTACATATATACAAGTAGAGTTTTTACTTAAAGAATGTCTACAGGAAAAAACAAACGAACAAAAACCATGTACAGAATGGAATGGAGACGAGTCACTGTGCTCAGCTGCTAGCCCAAAGTTGCGAGGTTCGAGTCCATGCAGAGGTGCCACTATTTTTAAAAAAGTCAGTCCTTGAAAACCCCAAAACCCTGTGAAGCATAGTTGTTCTCAGACACAGGTGGAGTCACGTGAGTCAGAACTGATGGATGGGAGCACCATCCAATCTCCCCCCCCCCCCAAATGAGGCAGACGCTCAGCACCCAGTCATCAAAGTCCCCAAGCAGGGAACAGCGCTGCTCTGCAACAGTGTGTTTTGCATGTCAGGAAGGTGGGGAGACATCACGGTGCCCTTTGGTGCCCTTTGGAGTGGTGAGACAGAAACCACCCAGGCAGCTGATTCTTTGTGAAGTGTCAGGGGAAGGTTAGGTCCTCGTGGTGTACAGTCAGGGGCTTGAGGCTGAAGCCGAGTTTCAGAACTTCTCTGAAGTCCTGGAGCGGGATTTTCTGGAGCAAACCAATGGGAACAAAACCAGGAAAGACAACAGTGTCCCGTGTCATTGTGTTGGTGTGTCCAGTCACCTTTTAATGCTCGTGTCTTATTTTTATCTCTGTATTAGAGAGGCATGATTTGTGCACAAGCTGTTAGAAACAGTTCTGAGGGAAACACATTTCCAGCTGCTTCCTCCTGTTCTCCATCTGCTGCCTGAATGCATCTTTGTATGCACGTGAACTGTTGCTTGTCAGTGTAACTGGTATTAGCTGAAGACGGCGGTAAAAATCCCTGTGGGCAGTTGGGAGTTCAATTGGTCTGAAAGAGACTACCTTGGTGCTCCCTAGTAAATAATAAACTTGGAGGTGGGGTCAGAAAGTGGACACCAAGCGTCTTTGAGTTTCAAGCATTCACTCACTTCCGGTATGTCTTCGGATTCCTCTAGTTGTGCATCCTCGTCCCATTTCATCTTAAATATGTAAATCCTCAATTTATCTGGAATTGCTTAGTGAAAGGCTGATGTGTGAGTATGGCAGATTATAATATTCCATTGCCACCCCTGATCCTCTTATTCTTTTCATAACAGATTTTTTAAAAAGCTGTGTGGGTGCTACAAGAATGTTATTATTTTAAGAGACTTGGACTTAGAAATTGATTACCTTGATGTGAAAAAGAAAAGTCTCCTTCTGGCCCAGAGGATCACGTCATAATCCTGTCACTCTACATCAAAAACCTGCCCCCTCCCCCTGCCCCGCCCCCACGCGCACTCTCTTTTAGAAGAAGATGAGAATATCTGAAAAGGAATTGATTTTTCAGCGATAACAAAAACCCGTGACTTGCAGGCTTGGTTGGTAGAAGAGGGGTTCCAATGAGAACCTCCTGTGATTATTAGAACAAGCTCCTGATTTGTTTGGGAGATAGGCAGTTTTAGATGGTGATTGGGATTTGTACCAAGGGAGGAAATTGGTATTATGTTTGCTGCTGATTTTAAGGCTGAAACTAGAGTCCGCCCCCACCCATATAAAGGGATTTCTCCGCTTTCAAGTATATAATACTGCCAATTGACTTGCCCAGATGACTCTCCTTGTGAGTGGATCTAAGTTAACAAGCTATTAAACAGCACGTGTTTAATAAGCTATTAAACAGTCATCGCCAGCTGATGGATGCTCAACACACAACCATTTTCTTTGTATTTAAGGAATGCCCGCTACCTGTTATGAGATTACCTGCCTTCTTGTGCAGTGGTTCCTAGTCCTGTGTGTAGCACATTGGGGCTGCCTGGGGAGAGTTACAAACTAGTGACAACCCAGCCATACTTTTGGAAATAGTGATTGGATTTGGCCTGGGTCTCATAATTTTTTAGAAACTCCCCAAAGTGATTTCAGTGTGCAGACAAAACTGAGAACCACTGAACTATAGTACATTCCACATGGCATCCTACTAGGATTAAGTATCTGTTATGAAGATAGAAAATGTCCATCTCTAGAATGCATCACTTCACTTGAAAGCCAATTAAACCAGTTGTCATTGAGAAAATTCCAACTCATGACAACCTCCTATGTGTCCAAGTAGGATTGGGCACTGCAGGGTTTTCAGTGGCTTATTTGTTAGGAGTAGGTGTCCGGGTCTTTTTTCTCAGGTGCCTCTAGGTCAGTGGTTCTCAACCTGTGGGTCTCGACCCCTTTGGGGGTCAAACAACCTTTTCACAGAGGTCTCTCAATTCATAACAGTAGCAAAATTGCAGTTATGAAGTAGCAACAAAAATAATTTTTTGATGGGGGGGTCACCACAACATGAGGAACTGTATTAAAGGGTCGCGGTATTAGGAAGGTTGAGAACCTCTGCTCTAGGTGGGCATGAATCTTTAACCTTTCATTTAACTCATCTATTTAAAAAATCATTGATAGAAGATTGCCTCCATGCATCTATTTGGACCCTCCAAATCAATATTTTAGTGCCCTTTTTACTGATGGATATTTAAGTTTTGAAAATTTAAATCAATGTAGAGATAATTTTTCAAATTAAATTAGAAAATCAGACATTTAGAAATGTTTGAATTTAGAAAATTTAAGTATCAATTCACAGAATCAGTCTGCTTATCTAGCTACCCATCCATCCTCATCTATGGTAAAACAAGTTAGATCAATGTGCATGAGGTATTAGCAATATATGGGAACTAAAGGTTCTTCTTACCCTGTCCAAAATTATCTCTTTGCAGGAGCCAGTTCTTCCATTTCTTAATTATATGTTTTATCACCTTGGGTGGTTATCGTTAAGTCATTTGATAGGGGAAGACCCAGCACATTCAGTCCCCTAGTGGGCAAGGATGAGCCAGATCTGGATGGCCCTGAGCCTGGCACAGGGCAGGAGAAAGGCATGACAAGAGTTGCCTTCTTGAGCGTGTGACCCCACTCTCGGTTGACCATTCTGTTGGCACCATCTTGAAATTCTTAATCATTTTAAAATGAGCTCTGCATTTTAAGTTTTCACCTAAAACAAACAAAACAACACCGCCAATGATGACAACTGGTCTTGGGGCAGACATGTAAATAGAAACTGTCTATTGTTCCACACAGTGGTCTCTGCCAAGGATGGGGGGCGGTTAATGAGAAGTGGTGAACAGATATGATACCTATGGAAGGATGACGCTCCCTGTGGTGTGGCTATCAGTGGCTAGGGACAGGGGGCCTTGAATAAATACCCATGCTTTCCTCAGACTTTGAGGAGGTCATATTTGATCCCTGTGAATTCAACAATGATATTGTGGCCACTCACTCACAAGTCTTTCATATGCGCTGATTATATGTTGGTGCCTGGGATGAGGACTTGGCGTATAAGAGTAGTCTGTCCTGGAGCAGCAGAGGAGAAGGCAAACAGCATCATCTAGCCTAGGAATGCTGTGTGCGGATGACCTGATGCTTTGGGACTGCAGACAAGGACACCTGACTCACAGGGAAGGCAGGCAAGGTGTCAAGTTAAAAATCTAAGACCAAAGAGGAATAAGGAATTAACCCTTTGCAGAGGAGAACGAGAATATCCTAAACAGAGGGAGCAGCATGTGTAAAGACATAAGGGCAGAATGGAGAAAATTGAGTATCAGAGGAAATTAAATGAAGTTCAGTGGAAATGCCAGGAAGAGGGGAGAGTGATTACAGATTATACTGGAGAGATAAATAGCTACAAAGTCACAAGTCACATGGTCCCAGTTAGACTCTGAAGAGGTAGCCTTAAAGAATGAGTTCTCTTGGTTCTCAGGGATGTTCAGAAATCAGAAAACTAACGTAATGACCCTTTGATTCCACCACAGAGCTAACGGCTCTGCATATCCTGTATCATTTCATCCTGACCACAACATAGTGGCTCAAGCCACTTGCTCACCTAACTTTACAGAGAGGGTAACTAGATTTAGATTAAGCAATTAACTCAGGACCTCACAGCCAATAAATTGTTGAATCAGGATTCAAATATGTCTCTTCAGAAGGCCTAATTCCCAAATCATAAATCAGTTTTTTGTTATTTTGCTAGGAACTATGGACTGTATCCCGGAGCAGGTAGGTGACACAAAGGACTCAGCATTTAGAAAGAGAGCCCGAGCTACCACATGGTGTTCCATGCTCTCTGCTCAATCTGGCTTGAATTTCCAGCAACCCCCTGCCAATGTTTGCTGCATCTGTTTTTGAATTATCCTCAGCAAAATTTTATTGAAGTGTAACATGAATGATACCATTTGATAATTTCTATATTCTCTTGGGTCACCTTTCTTAGGAATGAGCACAAATATGAATTTATCAAACTTGGTTGGTGTGTTAGTCTGGGTACTTTAGAAAAACAAATGCACAGAAACTCATGTATAAGAGAGAGTTTTATATAAACGTTAAGTGCACATCAAGAAAACATCCCAACCCAGTGTTGTCCAAGCCCACAAGTCCAACATTAACCCATTAACCCATATGTCCGACACCAATCCACAAAGTCCTCCTTCATCCCACAAAACACACACGTTGATGCTGACTGCAGGAGGAAAGCCAAATTAGTGAATGTGTAAACATCTCAGCACTGGCAGGGGTCTCCACACAGGTGCTCAGCACCCAGGGCTGCATCGGGGTAGGTCCATGTAGCTTCTCTTCAGGGATGTCTTGCAGGAAGTGAGCCTTTCCAGCTGAATCAGGGAACTGGCTAAGGCAACTGCACCCTGGTCTGACCATCAGAAAGCAAGAGACCCGAGAACTTGAAAGGCGAGGCTCACTGAGCCATTTATCCCTCTGCCCTTCAATTAACCCCACATGTGTTTATCAGCCAGATTGGCACAATAATCTACC